GGGCCGGGCGCTTAGTCAGTTCATCCATCCACCAGCCAGTCATTCATATAGTTTTATGTCAAGCATCTATAAGCTCCAAGTACTAATCCTCCATCCTTAAAGGATAGGTGGTATTAACTAGTTATCCATGCAATTAATCATATTGCTTACACTAATGATCTCATTAGGGAGTCGAGGTAGCACTGGAGCTGAGACTGAGAAGCATCTCCGCACTGGGATTAGACTTGTCCAGGTGTGAATTCCAGTTTTGGCTGGATAAGTGAATTTACAACTCTGGGTCTCCTTCTTTTTTAGAGGGGCTGGTGTAAAAGCTTAGGATATAATAAATGGTGCCTGGTCTGAGCCACAGTAGGCATTAAACAAGTACTAGCTCTTTCTTTTTTACATTAATCCTTCTCTGATGTCATTAGAATTAGAATGCTGTTAAGTTCCATATGCCAAAGGCCATGCATCCTTCAGTTGCTTACTTTCCTAAATTTAGATCAGCCCTTCCACGACAAGCACTGAGCCAGCATTCCATTTGCCACACCAATGATAACAGGGATCACCAAGAGCTTTTTGTGGCTCCATGAAAGACATATCTCACAAAAGGGATGACATTAAAGTGTACAACTAAGAATGTCAGCTAACATTCAGAAAAGACAAGCCACCGGGAATCATGTTTCTCAGTTCACAGTCACAGAGACCTCAAAGAGGTCAGAACTAGAATACTCAAGGAAATCAGAACAAGGAGAAAAGGTTCTGGTGGGACTCAGCACTGTCCTTAGAACTTAACATTTAAGACTTCTTTTGCTCTTCACGTTTCTGTTGATTAGATAAGAATGCTGAGGTTTCAAGAAACAGGAACCCAAGGGCCCAAGAGAGTAGGGTTCTGTGTCTGGCTGTCTCTGAAACCCATATTCATTCCATGACAGCAGACTATATCACATTAACAGCACTGTGGTTATTGCTTGTTTCAATCTGCAATGCATCAATTTAGTCATTTTAAATTAATCCTTGAAAAATCAACAAGAGATTAAAATGCAAATTTCAACATGACAAGAGCTCTACAGTGATTCTGTTTTAAACCTACACAAATTGGTCTCACAAAGTTCAGTGTCTCCTGAGAGGAAAAGCTTCCTTGCTATGTTGTGTATTTCAGATATAAAATATTTTTTCTCATGAATATCACAAGTCAACCCCAGGGGGTCAAACCTTAGAACCTGGGTTGCTACATCCCACTGACCTGCAGACTTAGGTTAGCAACCAGAGAGAATGAGCTCTGTGCATGTGAAATGAGGCTCACATCCACCTCTCACAGAGTAGCTGCAGGGATTAAAATGGAATGGTGTGCCTTAAAAGAAACTGGCAGACTACTACTATTATTCTGCTCAGAAACAAACAAGAACAGCCCTCTACTGGTGTGCGAAGGAGGATTTAGGGGACAATGGGTCATACACAGGGAATTAGTTCATTAGTGACAAAACCAGCAGAGAAAAATTGAAATTTCAAAAATGGTGGGACAGGGGAGGTAACAGACAATGTAGCCAGGAACTCAAGGTGGTTTTATGGAAAAGACTGTTTAGACGAACATTTCTAACCTCAGCAGCTGAAATTTAGGCATTATGAAAATGTTCAGCGACTTAAAATCAAGTACTTAAGGAATCCTTTGCCCTTAAAATAAAAAGACGAGTCATATCCAGGTAACCATTTTTTTTTCCTGTTATTATTTAGCATAGAAGAACATGACATGTACCTTGGTATTTTCTCAGAGAGAAACTCCAAGTTTCTCTTTTCTCCCAAACACCTCAAGGGAAAGTTAAGTAAAAGCATTTTCAAAGCTATGAACTTTGAAAAACAGAAGAGAGGTGTCAATGTACTAAACTCTAAAATGATGTTATTAATGAACTGGTTCTCAACCTGGGACCATTTATCACTGAGGGCACATTGGGTAATTCCTGGAGACATTTCTGGCTCTCATGGCTTGGGGAGTGGAGTAAGAAGGAGATTGAGAGCAATCATATGGTGAGTACCACCTGAGGATGCTTTTTAAAAGAATCCAAGAATGCATAAGACAGACAACAAAAGATCACCTGATCCAAGGTGACATGAGAGTTGGTGGAGGATGAAAGGGAAAGCGGGACACTAAGGTTGAGATGGGTGGGTGGACATGGCAAAAAGCGCCAAACCCAGCTTACGCACAGAGCCTCAGGAAAGCTCAGGAAGTGGAGATAATCAGCCGCCAAAGGTTAGGAAAGGACACAAATGAAAAGGAAGTGATTCATTCCCAAGATTCTTTTCTCAAGCCCCCAGCTCCTCAGCGGGCTTCTTGAACCTGTCCATCTAGAACCAGTAGGGCCTGGGGATACCAGTTACAGTTGAGGATGGTCAAAAGGCACTAGCTGCTCAGGAAACTGATCTGGGAGGGTTGCTGGTATCCACTGGGAGATCAAGAAGAGGATGAAAAAGAATTAGAATTAATTTTTAAATCTGGGAATAAAAGTCTCACAGATAAGGCTTTTTTTTTTTAAAAGGAGAACAATGAGATGGCCAAGGGAGGAAACGTGGAAGAATGGAAAGGTTGTTGAAGAAAGTAGATAGAGGTCAATCTAAAAGAGAAATGTGGGAAACATGAGAGAAAATGAACATCAGTGGATAGGAGGTTTAATCCTATCTGCCACAGAAAAGAGAAATAAAGATTAAAAAACAATAATGTGAGAATACTTGTAAGCTGTAAGGATGTGAGTTTCCAAAGCAGATGAGACGGTCAGTGACAGGGGCAATGGGGGAAAACAGTCCCCATTAAGTATGTCATCGTTCAATTTCAGGACATTAGAAGCCAACAGATCATAAAAAATAACAGGGATCAAAATGACCAAACCTCCTAAGCTACAAGAGTAAAAAGTAGCCAGTGAATATACCTTCACATTTCTGGAAGGAGAGTGATCTGAAAACCAGAATTCCCCATTCAAGCTATTCAATCACGCAAGTTCAAAACTGTGGCCTCCAACAACAAACATACTCTCAGGACACTGTTGGAGAATGCTTTCACAGAATGAGGACTAAAACCAAGAAAGAGGAAGATGAGCCGGGAGATGGTGGCGCACGCCTTTAATCACAGCACTAGGGAGGCAGAGGCAGGCGGATCACTGTGAGTTCGAGACCAGCCTGGTCTACAGAGCTAGTTCCAGGACAGGCTCCAAAGCCACAGAGAAACCCTGTCTCGAAAAACCAAAAAATAAAAAAATAAAAAAAAATAAAAAGATGTACAAGAGAAGAAAGGAACCACAATCTAACCACTAAACATAGAAGAAAAATGGGAGAGAAACGGATGAATGAGAGCCTGGGTTTCTGGGAACATGCTAATAAAGCAAATGAATTACTGATGTATGTATAGAGGAGAGAGTAGAGATGGCAATGTGTTTATCTTCCCAAGTTGTTCTCTAGCCATATTATATTTATCTTAACCAGTCACACTTTGCTAAAACAATTTTTTATTTCACTTTCCAAATTTATTAGAGATATCTATGCATCTTTTAAAGTTTTTAACATACACTTTGATTAATATAATTATATCACTTTTCTTCTTTCCTTTCCTCCCCCAGCTGCTCCCTCCAATTTATCTTTCCAAGTTCTTAAGAAGTCTTGTTTTGCAATATTATCTTAACAATAAATTAAATTTTTTTTCTAGTTTTGATTTATTTGTTTTTACTCTTTTCTATTTTTTGATGTTCTACAGTGCTTTAGAGAAAACCTAGGTCCTTGCACACATTGACCAAGTGTTGTGCACTGATCTATATGCTTCGCACTTTAATTTCTCAAATTCAAACTCAACTTCATTGTTGTTCTTACAAAAGTATTCAAGGCTATGAATTTTCCTCTTTGGAGTATGTTTGGTGGCGTAATTTTAAATGGGAAGAAATTTTGCCACCTGCTACCATACTGGTAAACTTTAAAGGCTTTATGTTAAATGGAAGAAGCCAGACACAAAGGGACAAACAGTACATTGAGGTGGTGGCACACACCTTTCATCCCAGTACTTGGGAGGAAGAGGCAGGTGTATCACTGAATTTAGAGCCAGACTAGTTTACAGAGTGAGTTCTAGGACAGCCAGAGTTACAAAGAGAAACCCTGTCTCAAAAGATAGTAAAAAATTCCTCTGATACATGGTACTTGAAAGTAGGCAGAAATCATAGTTAGAATAATGGTTTCCATGCACTGATGGTTATTGGTTGCTGCCAGAGCTACAATTTTGAAAGATGAAAAAAATTCTGGACACAACAGAATGGGAATGTACTCAACTTTATCCTCTGAATTGGATAAAATTTCATGCTATTATATTTTACCATGTACCTTGCAGGCATCTCTTTAGGCTTTATTATGCATTGTACAATTTATAATCAAGTACAGCATTTTGCAGATGTGACTCGAGACAGAATGGTCACTCAGGGTGCAAACAAGAACCTATGCATCTGTCACTTTAGCTCGCTGCTTCTCAGCCCTTAGAAGGTGAGGATGCACATCCCATTTCACTTATTATGAAGTGAAGAGCTTTCTGAGAGGTGAACATAGAAGTGTGTGTACTTATATACACCTGCCCTAATAATCATTCACATGGAACATCTCATCTTATGATGAGAGAAAGAAGAATCTGAGTCTCCCTTGTGAAAGAACACCTATGTGCCCTCCAATGGAGTATTATGCGGTGGATAACAATGATTTCTTAACTATGAAAATCTAAGATGTTCTTCTAATATGTGATTTTAGTTATGTGAAAATGTCCTAAAAAGACTGGAATGAATAAATATCAACCATAAGGGATGACCTGTGAGAAATATGAAGAATACCTTTTCTTGTGTCTGTACTCTATATTTTCAAGTTACTTTTGCTATTTATAATCCATTGTTCTTTTTATTTTTCTTTTAGTAATCTACTGTAAATAGCATTGAAAACATACCCTATTGTTTTAAAAACACAAGCAGTAAACAAACAAATGTAATGTTCCCGTTCCAAGTACTCACATTCTCAGGTATGCTGGGAAGCTCTCTGGTATCAGGCACAGTGAAATAAGAATGCTGGAAAAGAAAAAAACACAAGCTGCATATTCTTTCAAGATGAGCTAACTTGCACTTGATTTAACTCCAAATTTAGGTAAATGTTCTAAAGCATCTTCCTTACTCAGATGAGGAAGCTGTGTTTTCTTATAGTAAATATCCACATTATAGCTGCTTAGGCTAATGTTGGATCAATGCATTGATTCATCAGCATTAAAGATCAAATGTCTTTAGGGGACATGAATGAAAAACTCCAAGAAGCTAAAGTCTAAATTCCCATGTGATATTTGCAGATTTCTAAACACAAAGAAGTGGCCAGTTTTGAAATGTATTGTTCAATGGGGTAGTGGACTCTCAGAAACCGTATAACAGTAGATTCACTCACTAAATGATAGAATGTCCCCACCAATTCTGTAATTCCATTTTAGCATCTGAGGTCTCATCAATCTATACTGTAGTCAAAATCTGCTCATATGATGCTCAGGACAGTCCCAGCCAAAGGCTACTCCATCTGAAATGGATACATATGGCTGCCAATGGAGGATGAGCTCCTGACTTACAGTGTGATTGTCATGGAAGAGAGTTGGAGCCTGGGTGAGAAAGACTTCAAAGACATATAATGAGGCATTTCCATGTTTATAAGAAGCCTGTATCTCCAATTAAATGAAAACTGGCTGAACTAATGCTACCTCCTCTGCTGCTTCTAAATGCCTGAAAGATAATGGTAAGTGGTACTGGAAGGATGGATAGTTAAAGATGGACTGTGAAAGGCCAGGGAAGCTCAAGTGCAGAGAGATTCAGCTCACCCATGGCCTAAGCTCAAATCTGGACTTCTCCCCCAACCCCTTGCTCCTGGGTAATGGGAGAGTAAGTAGATTTCTAGAGAAATGAATTGAATAGTCTTTCTAAAATAAAGGGTCCCGGAGACAAGCTGTACTACTAATGATGGCAACAATGAGCTGCCTGTCTGACACTCTAAGAACATCATACATGAGGGCATTCAGCACACAACAAATGGTACCTTACTATTTTATTTATTTGAACCCAGGATTTCACTAAGTAGCTCCAGTTGGTCTGAAACAGACTAAACTGGTTTTGGCCTTGTACTGATCCTCCTGCCTCTTCCAGAATGTTGGGAATATAGGCATGCACTACCACACCCAGATTAACAAATGGATTTTAATACACAATTATTATTGTTCAAACTGCTAGTTTATATTTCTGTTTTTCTCAGTTACCTACACCACCAGCTACATAGGCACATTCTCTTGCACAAAGTGGTTAAATAAACAAAGCCCAGGCTTGGCATTACACCAATATTTTAGGATTTATATTACAAATGAGATGCTAGTCCTTCAAATAAAAATGCATTTTGGGAAGAAGACTGTCTAGTGAAGAGGGGGAATCACCCTTTACAGATGCAATGGATTGTAAAGAGTGAGCCGGCAGAGCTCTAAACCAACTAGTCCCCAGGCTGTCCTTGGAGATTCTGTCTTGCTCCATTGCCCATGAAATGCTGGGGACCAGGAGAGGTCAGAAACATTCCTAGAATCCACTGGAATGAAACAGCTGCACACCCAAAAGTTCCTCCTACCCCTGAGCTGGCTTGTCCTTGAGGCCTGACAGTACGCTGGCAGCCCTTTGGGGAAGGAGTGGCCCTTCCTCCGGCAGCTGTGACCTAGCCAGGCTGCTCCACAGCTACCTGTCGGATGTCATTACAGGCCAAAGCAGTGAGATCAAGCTGTTTAGGAAAAAAGATTGAGACAAAGGCAGGGTTGCCCTGCTCAGTGATGACTGGGTCTAAAGCATACTTGTTCATGTTTTCTGGCAGTCCCTACTCCCCATGAGCAAACCCTCCATAAGTAAATTTTTTTCTTCTTTCCTGCTTCCCACCTCCTTCCCTGCCTCTGTCCCTTCCTACTTTCAGCTCAGCATTGTAAAAGCTAGGCTGTCATTTCTAAATCACGTGACTTTGCATGGACACTTTCCCTCTCTAAACTCTACAGAATGAGAATGTTAACACCTATACTGGGACAATTTTGAACACTAGAGGTGTATATTTTGTATAAATTAGTAACATAAAATAGATTTGTTATTGTAAACATTATTGGTAATACTGTGGTTTTTGATACCATTCTGGTAAAACTCACTAGTCTGCCTTATGGAATCTGAAACCTCCGTGATCCCTGAAACCAGCACTGTGTCTCTTTCTTGAGAAGCTGGAAGAGGACACTATCTAATCCGCCAGGTCTACGGGATAGGGAGACAGGTCTGCATGACAGTGGATGCCTGAAAAGGGTGTCTACCATAGATTTCTGATAAAGGCAACGATGGTTTCCATCTAAGAGATCAAATAATTTAGTAACTGAACTATAGAAATAACTCCTATACAATCTTTCTGACAAATAAGGAATCTGAGTCTGTATAGTTAGAGGTATTGGTTAAAATCACTTCAAGCACTAGCAAAATACACAACTAGAACAGAAATTTCCCATCAGCTGACTGAGAGGAATTTCTACCTTGGCACACTACACAATGTACAGGATGCATCTCAAAGCACTCAAATAAATAATGACTGCTGTAGGCCAGAAATGATGCTGAGAACCCTCACACTGTCTTCAAAGGACAGGCACTGGATACCAGCTTACTCCAGCAGGATGGCACTAAGTCTCCAAGAGCATGCCAGAGGATTAGGGACAAAGAGAAGACCTAATTCAGCTTGTGAGGTCAGGGGAGGATTTTTCAGGAAGCAGAATCAGAATTGGTTTTGAAGGATTTTCACGAGTTAACAGGCATAAGGAGGGAGGTAGTATTTGAACACTAAGGTCCAGAATGGGCTTTAACTGTGACAGAGAGAACACAGGTGACGATGAGGCTAGCAGCTCCAGCCATCATATTCATTGCATCTGTGACTAAGAATATGAGTGGTCATTTGAGAAGCATCTATTCTTCAGTGAATCTCAGAGAGAAAAAGAATCCCACATCCCAGACGGCCTTGAACCTGGGCTTAGGCTACAAGTGTGACTCTGGCCTCCTCTTAAGGTTCATACAAACATCCTTTCTTGGGGTGGCCACCATCCTGTCCCACTTACCACATTGAGATGAACAGACACTCCGGGGTCAGGGATGGGAAGTCGGTGCAGAGTTTCAAGAAGTTCATTCCACTGACTTTCCTGAAAGAAAGGAAAGGCCCAAGTAACAAAAGCTGGGACCTGTAGTAAGGTATTGGTGCACAGAGAGACAGGTGAGAGACGCTGGTCCCAAGACAGAAATAGGTTTGATATTCAAGTTGAGCTGGATAAAAGACATTGCTTATGGCTCCAACGCAAGAGCCAAACAGATCCTCCCACATCAAGTTTGACATTTTCTATTCAGTCAGACACCTACCATGACCACCTTTTATGGATCATATACCATAAGCTTTCAGCATATCTATCCTTTCAACTCCATAGCAACAACTTCTAAAAGAAAACAATCTGAACTTCCAGGGCGGAGGTGGTTGGAAGAAATAACAATGACACTGTGAGTCTTGTCTTCATCATCATTACCCTCAATTAATTTTATTGAGTATTCACTGGGTATATGTAGCAGCCTCCAATTACAGAAAGTTAGAAATGAAACAAGTTCACCAGCATGTGATACAGGACAACAGTCGTGCATTTTAATTAGGGAAAGTGAGCAGCTGAATAGCTTACAAAGCAGCACAAATTATTCGACTCAAAACAGATTTGCCTTTAAGATGCTCAAAACAACAGCACTCAAAAAGATTCAAAAGCCACTTCTTTCTTGTGGAACTCTGTGTGCTAATAAAAGAAAGTTAAGTTTACATAGTTAGCCATGCCCTAACTACTGAATCCTTCTAGTCACCCACTTAGGAAGTGTGAAGCACTAGTCTCGTATTGGACAGTAGGCTGCACAGTCCAGGAGGGAGGTAGGATTGCTGTGTCCAGGTCCTCAGCCTTCTCTGCTTCTGGCAGGGGGCCTGATATGAAAGGGATGAACTTAGTTTTCAAGTTTGATTCAGTATGTGCTCTGATAGTCAAGTTTCTCAGAGGACATACAAGCTTAAGCGTGTGTGCATAGGGTTGGTTTTATTCGGAAGCAGTTTCATACCTACAGAACAATTTTAGAAAGGGATGAAGGCTCTTTCATTTCCTCAATTGTTTGAGAATGAGTTGTTGGCATTATACTTCATATACTTCATCATCTACACACACACACACACACACACACACACACACACACACACACACACACACACACTTTCTTCAAACAACCACATTTAATCACCACAACCAGGAAATATGCCTCAGCACTGCCATCAAATCCTGTCCAGTTGTGCTGTGCATGTCCTCATGGCAATCAAATTAGTTTAGAAGCATGAGTGGCTTTCAGCAGGGCTCACTCTTGAGACTCCTTTTGTTGAAAAAACCCCCGTCTTTCCTAAATCTGTAGGACCAAGACCACCCATTTTGCAGAATGCGTCTCAGCTGTCAGATGCTTCCCGATAAATCTCAGCTTATCCTTTATTGAGGATGTGCCTCCTGACTATTTCATCTCAGATCTCTATTGGGCAACCCCTTCAACGGCATTTAAAAAGCATTTTGTAGCATGGCATCTTATGGGAGCATTCCATCCCTCAACTTTTGAATCTAGCTCTTATTTATCTTACTACAAGTGCACAGCCTTTCATTTGCTGTATATTGTCTTGATGCTCCAGACTAAGATAATTGAGAATCTCTTGGCCCTTTACCTTGTGTCTTGAGGACATATCCCTGGTATGTATCTTGGAATCCCATGTGTTTATGCTTGCTGTTCCTTGGGAATGATGATGCCAGGTCTTCAGTGGCCAGAGCCATCAAGTACCACATACACAGGTCACCACATACTTCACATCTCAACTTACTTTTCTCTTCACACACTTAAAGCTTTAGCTTCACAATGATGTCTCCAATTCAGGCCAATACAGAGTCACGTTCCTTCTCTTTGCATACTGTGACTACACTGCATAAGGGTTAAAAAAAAAAAAAAGCCCTGCCCCTCTCTTGGGGCTAGATCTTCCTATTTCATACTCTGGCACCAAGCACCAAGTCACCACTGCTGGTTTCCTTCCTGTTTGGATCTCTGCAGATCTCCACTGAGTTCCCACATCTCACATCATGTCTATCCCCCATCCCTACTCTCCCACATACATACCTTCATCTTTGACTACAACACCCAAGCAGGCTGCTGCCCAGCTCAGGTTTCTTGTCAGTCCTTTCATGCAGGTTCCTGTTCAGGGTCTGACAACACTGGGGCCAGGACCCACACAGAAATCCCCATGTCCCACCTTAGGCTACAACACTTGGTGACTCATTGGTCACATAAATTCCTTCCCAAACAGAAGCTTACCTCACTCAACAATTCCATAACTTCTGGATGAGAGAAGGATGTTTTTAGGGAACAACCATACTGGTTTTGTTTGGGTCTTGTTTTCTATGTTTATATGATGTATGTATGTGTTCTTGTGTTTGCATGTGCACATGGAAGCCTCTGGCCAATGTCAGGTGTCTTCCTAGATTGCCTTCCACTTTACTTTTTAAGTCAATGACTCTCAGTGAATCCAGAACTTATTTATACAGCTAGGATTTATGTCTAATGGGATGCAGGGATCTGCCTATCCCTCCTCCTGAGTGCCTGCTGTCGGGTGCTGTCTGCTATGTGGGTGCTGAAGATCCAAGTTAATGTCTTCATGCTTGTTGACCACGTATACTGTCAACTGAAATCTCCCTTCCTTTCATCCTGTTCTGATCTCATAGTCAACAACTTTTGAACAAGCCAGTTGTAGACAAAGTCCTTACTCTGTGTTATTATAATTCCTTTGGCGACAACAAACTTTGTAGGAATCCTGAGTCAGGAAAAATAGACTCCAGTCAATTAAGTCAAGTGACTTATCTCAGTTTCCCATAACTCACCAGGCTCAGAGGACAAAAATACTGATCCCACAGGGTTATCCTCAGTTTATAGCACTCCTCCTTTCCCAAGTTTTCCTTCACTCGTCCATCTTTCCTTCCTACCTTTCTTCCTTCTTTCTTTTTAATTTCTTTAAGACAGGTCTCATGTAGTACAAGACAGGCTTCAAGCTCACTTCCTGGCAAGTGAACTGCTAGCCACCCGAGTTTCCATTTGTAGTTAAGGATGGTTTTGAATTCAGATCCTCCTCGCTGCCTCTCGAATGCTAGGAATATGGGTATACACATTTTTAGATACATTTTAAAGAGTACTAGGTTGCATTGTTGTTTTAAAAATTAAAAAGCATAAAGGTGGAGTTTAAAAAAAAACATGAATCAGTCTCTAGTTCAGAGGCAATGTGTTAACATACTTTTATTTATTAATGATACCTTTCAAATTGAGTGAAAACCTGAATGCCTGACCAGAGCTACATGTGCATCAGAAATCGATGAACAGATCCCAAAGCAGCCTGCTACCTCATTCATCAAAGACACCAGTTCTTCTATGATAGAGTTCCTAACTTCATGCTTTCTTTCACACTGAGTGTGACGAGTGAGAAGCCATTTCTATGAACCATTCCTGCCATCTGTTGTGACCTCTGGAAAACATTTGTCACCGAGAACAATACACTCAAAGAAAAGATTTACATATTGTATACTCCCCTTACCCCCAACAGCCATTTCCCAAAACATGTTTCAGGGAACCCTGCAAATCAGGATTCTGTTTGTCATAGATTAAAAAAGGGCTTGGGGGTAAAACAAGAAAGAAAACACTTATTCACTAAGGTGCCCCACTGCAGGCCTTCTGAGAGCCTACATTATATGAATCATACGGAGAAAAAAATTAAAGCAAATAAACATACACAGATTTGGAGACCTTTAAGCCTAATAATACAGAACTATACTTTCTTAATAGAACATTTTCAGAATCAGGATACTATAGATAAATCAAAAGGAAAACTACTTATAGCATTTAACAATCATGTTGTATCACTTTAACTTAAAATGTTGCCCTTTACAAAAAAAAAAAAAAAGAAAAAAGAAAGAAAAGAAAGGTACACAGGCAAATATTCATCTCATTAATAATAGTGAGATTTGTGATTTGTAACTTTTTTTTTTTTTTCAGGACAGGGTTTCACTGTAGCTTTGGAGCCTGTCCTGGACCTAGCTCTTGTACATCAGGCTGACCTGAAACTTACAGCGCTCCATCTGCCTCTGCCTCCTAAGTGCTGGGATTAAAGGTGTGTGCCACCACTGCCTGGCGAGATTTTTGATTTATTAAATAAATGAAAAGTTCAACAAATGTTATCAATGAGAGTGTGGGACTTGATTGTGTTGCAAACAATGCACTTTAAGAAAATAGTGCAATTCTTTTGGAAAGTAGTTTGGCAAATGTTTTATAAATACTTATGCCCACAAGAAGCTTGTAACTGCCTATCTAGAATTCTCTTCTTAGAAAAATAATGAAAACTGAAGAAAATATTTTATATTCAAAGATTTGAGTGACTGCTGTCCCTCCCTCTTTCTGTGTATGTAAGGTGGTTATATGCGCATGTGTGTGTGACTCTTACAAGGGTCAGAGGAGACATTGGTGTCCTGCTCTAACATCTTTTTCCCTTCACAATAGGGTCTGCCACTGAAGTTGCACCTAGGTTGGGCCACCATGCTCAGTAATCCTCTTGTCTCTACCTCCCACACTGTTGAAGTCAACAGGGACACACATAGCTGCCTCTGGTCCTCACATTTTTGCTAGGGTTTTACTCTAAAGTTCTCAGGCTTGTACAGCAAGCACCCTTCTACCAAGTCATCTCCCCAATCCTTTTTACTACTGTAAGAAAGTGTTTAGGTAAGCTAAGGTACAAGCTACGCTGTTAGCCATAAAAAAGTACTTAATATTTTCAACAGAGTGGAAGAAATTATTCTGTGACAATACTTCCCAAATAGGCAGGCTACAAAATTTTAAATAGTGACCCAGACCATCTTTGTCATCATGGGTGGGAGTTTAGGTGAGCACACCATTTCTCCCAAATGTAATTAAGGTATAAAGAATTGCTAAAGGAATTTTCAGACTCTTAGAAGAATTACTATAAAAATACCACAAAACTTTATCAAAATGGGGATTGTGGCAGCTGTTAAGTCACTTGCTAGTTAAGTGATTTGCAACATGGCATGAGCAATTCAGTTTCATGCCTTTGATAAATTATGACTGAATACTTTGTGAACTTTCAGGGTTGTTGGGAAAATTTGACATTAATACTGGGAACATGAGCAGTCTAGGTGTTATTTATTTAACTCAGAACAAAAAAAAACAATGAAGAAACAACTAAAAATTTTAGCAATATTAATTTTTGGGATGCGGTAATGCATGCTAGGTGAGAGATGATTTTCTTTTCCCTTCCATTGTTTTCTGAATTTCCCAACTTTTCTACAACGGACATGCATTTTTTTTTTTTACAAATGTTTTAGTGACATATAAGGCACACATTACTTTCATAATCATAAAAAGTTTGTTAAAAACAGCTATTTCTTAAAAAAAAAAAAAAAGACAAATACCTGTTGTTTTGTTGTGTAATCTGCCAAGATGTTAAGGAGCTTATAAAACACTTCGAACCAGGGGAGGTAGCTGAGAAAGACAAAGAAACACAAGAAATGTTAGCATGCAGGTCAAAAGCCTGACTGGAGGCTTAACTCAAACCAAAACATTTTAGGTTTTCTCTATATCCTGAAGATTCTAGCCATGACTGATATAAACCAAAACTGCTTAAATGTTAATTATTTCTGGGTTATAAAAACATGCCTGTGTGAGGGAGAACATTATATGCTCATTATGAAGTATTCCTGTGCCTCAAAACTAGACCAGGTTCAAAGAGAGGAAATTCAAACTACAGTCTGCAATGAGGCACCATGTTTGAGTCATTAGGCCTCTCCCACCATTCCACACTCTCTAGAAAAGCATCTATTCTACTTCTCATGATTGGACACAGAGCAAAACCCAGCATGCCCATTTTTGGCCTCTGTGTCCCACATGCCCTACACAACACAAACCAATCATGTTAGTACACTAGACCTGCTACCTCTACTTCACCTGTGCTATACTGGCTGTAGCGTGAATGGATAACTCTCTTCTCTCTCTGCTATCAAGCAGGTCATTGCTCCTCTTAATTCACAGGTCTGCCAGCAGAACTCACTCTTGATATTGGCCATCTGTATGGCTATGAGAATGGCCTACCCAAAATGGAAGTCTGGATGGGCCTGGCCAGAGAGGGCAAAACTGCACAGGTAGCCAATGATATGCAGCCTGAGGTTTCTTCCCCCTTCCTGGCACTCACTTCTGATGACCAAAAAGACAAAGTGAAGAAGGTTGGCCTGGGGATTGGGGGTAGCAAGTGTGTGTAGTAGACCTAGGGACCCTGAGCCACCAGCAGCAAGGACATAGACATTTATCTGAGAGGACACATGTGGGGCCCAGACCCAGCACATCTGACACCAACACCAAAGCCCAAGGAGGCTTGGAGGCCACCTAGGTAACCAGGTAAAGAACAAAGTCATGAAGGGGAACAGAGAGCTTAGGCCAGGACGTCAGAACCTCTTGTCTTCCCTGGGAATCCAAGATACAAATAACCCACTGGTGCCTTCTGTAGTTGTGTTAGTCTTGTCACTCACGTCCCTCTTATTCCCCACACCAAATGACCAAAGTGGGCAGGGACAAAAGATTCTGAGAAACTTGAGCCTCCCCAATGGAGGGATATGATTCACAGAACCTTCTTTTTGTTTTTTCCCACTCTGATACCTGTTACTAATAAGTAAGTAGTATTCATTATTATGAATGAATAAAACAATCTGACTTTTCTCCCCAAAACCTAATCCAAGTCTACATAGCACAATTACTAAAGTGGCATCCTGTTGCTACAAGATCCAGCAGTCCAGGAAGGCTTCTGTGGCTCTCCCTTCCCAGGATCTTGATCAACTCTGACTCTTCTTGCCCCAATTCCTTCTTTTCCATGGTGCTCATGCATATACCACTGCTACATTGCCTCCTCCTTCAGCATAGCACTCACTGGCACGGTTACTTTCTCAATAGATTACACAGAGAATGCAGCACATCTTCCTTCACTGTGTCCTCAGCACCAGTAGAACTTGGCCCTACATTCTTATAAACACACTTGTGTGCACGTATGCGCGCGCGCACACACACACACACACACACACAGAGAGAAAGAGAGAGAGAGAGAGAGAGAGAGAGAGAGAGAGAGAGAGAGAGAGAGCTAGATGAAGACTAGTAGATTGCAAGGGCCCTTAGAGCCAAGGAAAAGTTAGGGAGAATGATCCCTGCCCCCACTTTACATGCTTTGTTCCCTCTTAGGAAAGTTCCCAAAACTACTGAGAAGAGGCATGTGAGAAGCTTGCTGTTCAGGTCTGCTCACATCTATTCTGCCACACAAATGGTGTTTTTTACTGATAGCCTGGACCCAAGGCAGGGCCCAGATGTGACATCCTGCTTGGGAGAGGGGATCAGCACCCTGTATAGATTACTGCTGAACACTGAGAATAATAAATGAAGTGAGAGGTAATAGAGAGGATAGATAAAGTGCATGAGCTCCTATCTGTGACGTCTGTCTGAAGCCAGAACATGCTAACTGTAAAATTTAAGTAGCTTATCACAATATACTGATAAGCAATTTAACTTTTCACTTCTATGACAGTATTATCACTTATGTTAATATGTTTCCATCAGCTCTGGCAGCCACATATGGACTCTTCCAGAGCAAATGGCTGTTGCCACTCTTCACAGTACTAGCCCTGGCAGAGCAATGTAAACATTCAAGAGGGATTAGGCACAAGATAACATGCTCTGTTCCTCTTCTGAGTTAAAAGCCATTAGAGTAGAACAAGAAACCCCCCTCCCAAGAAAACCATACAAATTAGAGGAATCTTAGTAAACAAACCCAGCCTGAAAGAAAATTCCACAAGGTAAACCCAGCAATTGGAAGTCAGGAAAGAGGAAAGGGACAAGTAGAGGAGATACACAGGAAAGAAAGCTCAGTTCCTTTTGTGAATGGATACAGAAAGCAGTACAGCAGAGCAGCCTGCTTCTCTCAGGCTCTGGACTAGATACAGCGCATACCACAGAACTTTTGAGACAACTACTCAACTCACAGATAGCCTGGTATGTACTTTGCAGCCTCAGTAGCTTCATTTGGTGAAGACATAAAGGTGAAGACTGCCTGGCCCACAGAGCCAGCCCACTTCACTCTACCAGCTTCTGCCTCACCAAACCAATTCCTTTGGTTATGGTGGGCAGAACCATTGGCCATGGACTCTCCCCTTCTGGTCTGACCAGATACAACTGTTCCCCATATGTCTTCGCATGTGTGTAGACAGATGAATGTCCAGTGACGGCAGTGGTATGGTTTTGAGACCAATCTGCAGCTGTCTTCTTCTTCAGAGCGTCCCCGCTTCCCACAGCTGAGCTCTGTCGGCTGGCACTTCCCATCCTGTTTCATTAGTGCTTGCACTCGGCAGGCCGTACTACCAGGAGGCTGCAGTGAAGACATGGAGCCCCCATTCCATCCTGTGTGTGTCTGTCAGCAGTGAGTAAACAGTGCCTCCCAGTTGACACAGGAAACAAGTACTCTGTCAGATAAAGTACTCCCTGGCCATCTTCAGGGCCCCAAACTCTTAGGCTGGGTGTACTTGTATCTTCCTGCAAGAAAACACTCTGTGGTGAACTCAGTCTAAGCACTAGGACTAAAATGATAAATGACAAGGAAGTTCTGGTCCAGAAAAGAAATGAACACAAGAGAGGGCATCTAGGTAGGAGAAGTCAGTTATCCTTCCCAAGCACTGTTACTTCAGGTCTTTGGAGTGATATAGAATCCTAATGGATCATGATTACGATCCCATCAGAAGAGAGGGAAAGAGCAGAGGAGACCTGTGTTACAGCCACCAGCCTGGATCCACACGCCTCTCACAGTGCTGGTAGCGTGGTCCTCACGTTAATGGGAAGTGCTATTTTGTGGGAATCCACAGAAGATCTCAAAGTTAGGAGAGTTGAAATAGTGCCACAGAAACCTCTTGACTTGGCCTGCGGAGTATTGTGGGCCCATGGAGGTGGTACAGCCATGGGTTCCAGATACTGCTTTAACAACAGCCCACTTCACAGTCATCCTTAAATGACCCATCATGCAGCAGTGATGGCCTGTATGGACAGAAACCAGCTAGCCTGAATGGCAGGCACAGGCTGGATAAAAACCTTCTACTTCCTCCAGAAGTGTTCTCAGGAACTGAGTTTAACTGAGGTCAGACTCTTGGTCTTCTGATCTCCCTTAACTAAATGGATGGTTTAAGATGGCCATCTTGCTGGGGGTTGTGCATGGGATAGGATTTCACATCTGTATCCAGCTAACCACGAGAGAGAGAGAGAGAGAGAGAGAGAGAGAGAGAGAGAGAGAGAGAGAGAGAGAGAGAGAGTGTTACGGAGCTCAAGAAGGAGAAAAGGTGATGATAGCAACAACAATGGTATAGAAAGCCAAGCATAACAAAGAAATCATCTGGGAGGCAGCTGGCTGTGGAAACGATGAGAGCAGGGCATCAACGTAGGGCAGCCAGATGGGGGAAAGATGAGAGGAGGGAGCCAACCCAGGGCAGCCAGGAACTATGCAAGCAGATGAGAAGGATGTCTATGGTAGGAGGAGGTGACAGTTCCATCTAAAATGTCAGTCCAAACAGAGTGAGGGAATGCAGCCATATAGGAAGGAAGGAGTGTAACAGGAGCCTGGTGACATACAAGCAAAGTGGTCAAATAACTAGGCATGCAATAGAAACCAAGGGTCTTGATAATAGACACATAAATTAGAAATATGGTTAGGGAAGAAACAAGAATGAATCCCAGCTGGATATAATTGTGAAATAATGGCATATAGACATAGCTAAGAGATAAAAATAAAACACAAATGTACACATTCAGATCACACACACACACACACACACTCACACACACAGTTTCTAGACTGAGTGACAGAGAAGGCCTGTGACAAGAGATGCTTCAGTTATAATGGGGACCCTCAGTGCCTAGTTATGGACTTCCAAATAGCATGATGCATGTGCAGTGCGATACAGGAAAGCCTGGCCAGAGACACTGAGAGTCATCTCATATTTGATCTTGAATTGATTTTTGCTTTCAGGTGTTCAAAAGCCTTTACTGTTAGCAACTGTATTTGTGCACGTGTGCATGAATGTGTGACCTCAACATTCACTTACAGTTTAAGAACCAGTACCTAGAGTCCAGTCTCTTGTCAACCCTCAAATGGCTCCCTTAATTAAGATATATACTTCCCTGCCCCCATATCCACTCCTCCTCCATCACAACTGTCCCATTCCCCTAAGCTCTCCCCATCCTCCCCTTCTCACTTCCATCTCCCCTTAACCCTGTCCCACCCTCACCCCCAAGCTCTCAATTTTTGCCTAGAAATCTTGTATACTTCCAATATCCAGGAGGATAACTACATGTTTTTTTTGGGGGGGTACACCTTCCTATTTAGCTTCTCTAGGATCATGAATTATAGGCTCAATGTCCTTTATTTATGGCTAGAATCCACTAATGAGTGAGTACATCCCATATTC